GTTAAAAAACAAAGTCTTATTATTATTATTCCACCAAATTTAAAGTCATTAACAATTAACAGTTGTAAGTCATCAATTGATATTTCAAAATGTCATTTAAAAAAGTTAGTATTAAATAATTACCATGGGAAAATTAATAGAGATACATGATGACAATTTAGAAAAAGTTGAAATTAGTTCTAGACAAGAAGTAAAATGGTATCATAATGGGACATTACTAAAAGAAAATGAAATTTATGTAGATACAATTAAAATTACTTCACTAATAATTAATCATTGTGATAATTTTATAAATGTTGAAAATAATAACAATTTGCAAACTATCATTTTCAAATATAATGATAAAGAAACTATATTAAATAATATTCATTTTTTTACTTTTAGAAATAATAATATAAATCTTTGTGATTACAAAGGGCATGAAATAGATTTTAGTGAATATCCTTTTAATTATATTAATTTACAAAATTGTCAATTTAATTTTTTAAAATTAAAATGTAACTCAATTAATTTAACTTGTGTTGAATGTAATAATTTAATTGTTGATGGAACTTGTCATAGTATGAATTTTTATGGTTGTAAAATAGAAACAGTAACCTGTGATGTTATTAGGTACTTAACGTATAAAAATTCACAAATTACTGAGGTAAATGCAAATGAAATAATACTTAGTTTTGGACCAAAAACAAAAGTGAAAAAATGGAATATTAAAAATATGAAAAGTAGTGAAGAACCTACTAAATGTTGATAATACATTTTTTAATATTTAGTTAAATTTGGTTTTATTGTTTTTAATTTTAAAAGGTTAATATCTAGTAATATCATCATTAATTTTTTTAATTTTATTTGATAATTATATCATTTGTTTGTTTATTCTTTTTTTATTTCTTTTTTTTTAATATATTGCTATAATATATTCTATTATAATTCACTCTATTTAATTTTATCCATTTGTTATTTCTTATTATTCCTGTTGTTTCTCGTTTTTTAATTAGAATAACTTTTGTATGAATATTTTTTAGTATTTGAAACTATAATTAATTTCGTTTTCAATTTAATGAACTTCCATTAATTTTTTTATACTAAATAGTAGTATTATTATCATTACTTTTTATTCTTCTTTGTTTTGTATTTATCAAAGTATATAAAATATTTTATCATTTTTATCATTACATTTATTCAATTTTTTTACGTTATATTATTTCGCACTCTCTAACTAATTTTTAATTCATCTTTTTAATAACTTCTTTCTTTTTTGTATTTTGATTCTTTTCATACTTCCTCAAAATACTATTGTTATACTTCCCTGTAAAAGAGTGGTCTTATTCTATTACTTCTATCACCTAATTACCTCTTTAATTTTTATCTAATAACTTTTCAATGAGTTATTCATATTAACACTCAAATAACCATTTCATCAACCATGAAAAGATCCTAAAAAATATACTAAAACCGTTCAAATAGTGATACTTTTTATAATTTTTTAAAAAAAGATTTCGTTATTTTCATATTCAAACTTTCATGACAAATTAATATATCAAAATTTATTTTATAGTTAAAACAAAGAAAAACTATACTTTTGAAAAAAAAAAGAAACAAATATCTTCTAATAAAATAAATCGATAGAAACTTGAATTCCTCATTGAAAAATAAGGTACTCTTTTATATACAAAAATAGGAAAAAGTTTTTGTTAAATGGAAATATAAAAAATCAAAAAGAAAAAAACTATTTTTATTCTAAAAAACTTCTTTATTCCAACAAAAATAATAGAAAACTGAAATTTAATAATTAATATGACATCAATGGATTTACAAAAATTAAAATTAAATAAACATATTACTGCAATACAATCATTTTTCACTTTATTTTTTCAATTTTTC